CTGAAAAGCTGAATAATGTTTCTATGAGCATTTTTGTACAAATATTTTATGTGAATGTATTTTCATTTCTCTTGGGCAAGTAGTAGAATTGCTGGGTCATATGGTAATTCTACCTTCTGAGGAACAGACTGTTTTCAAAAGCAACTATGATATTTTACTTTCCCACCAGCATCATAGGAGGGTTCCAATTTCTCCACATCCTCTTTTTTTTTTTTATCCTCACCCGAGGACATTTTTCCATTTTTTGTACAGATAGAGTGGGAGGGAGAGAGAGGAAGAGAGAGAGAGAGAGAAACATCGATGTGAAAGGGACACATCGAGTGGCTGCCACCCGCACGACCAACCAGGGTCGGGGACAAACTGCAACCGAGGTACATGCCCTTAGCGGGAACCAAACCCGGGTCTCTCCAGACCGCAGGCCAACACTCTAACCTCTGAGCCAAACTGGCCAGGGCTCCACATCCTCTTTTTAATTCTCATCCTCATGAGGGAGAAGTGGTATCTCTGTGTGTTTTGCTTTGCATTTTTCTAGGAACTAATGGTGTCAAACATCTTTTCATGTGCTTTTTGGCCATTAGATTCTCTGACAATTTATATATATATATATATATAGTCCTCACCCGAGGATATTTTTTCATTGATTTTTAGATAGAGTGGGAGGGAAGAAGGGAGGCAAAGAAACATCGACGTGAAAGAGACACATCGATTGGTTGCCTCCCACACGACCTCGCCTGAAGACAGGATCGAATCCTCAACCAAGGCATATGCCCTTGATTGGGAATCGAACCTTCAACTCCTCAGTCTGCTGGCTGACGCTCTAACCACTAAGCCAAACTTTCCAGGGCGCTGACAATTGTTTTTTTAATCTGTTTATTGATTCTAGTGAGAGGAAGGAGGGAGAGAGAGAAAGAAACACCAATGTGAGAGAGACACATCAATGGGTTGCTTCCTACACCCTCCTTGACCAGGGACTGAACCCGAAACCTGGGTATGTGCCCTGTCCAGGAATCAAATCCACCACATTTTGGTATATGGGATGGCACTTCAACCAATTGAGCCACACTGGCCAGGGCTCTAACATTTTTTAATTGGTTATTTGTCTTTTTATTATTGGGTTATAAGAACAATGGTAGATATTAAGTAAAAAGCTAATTGGAGTCCTAGCCAGTTTGGCTCAGCGGTTAGAGCATTGGCCTGCGGTCCAGAGAGACCTGGGTTCCGTTCCCGCTAAGGGCATGTACCTCGGTTGCAGTTTGTCCCAGGTCCTGGTTGGGTCATGCGGGTGGCAACCGCTCAATGTGTTCCTTTTATGTCTATGTTTCTCTCTCTCTCTCTTCCTCTTCCTCTCTCTCCCACTTTATCTGAATAAAAAATGGGAAAAATGTCCTCGGGTGAGGATAAAAAAATTTTTTTGAAAAAAAAAAAAAAAAGCTAATTGGAGCTGTTTTGCCCAGAGCCAAAGTCTTATTTGCAGAGTTTTGGCCCCAGGGCATGAAGCTTGCTGTCCTATCTCCTCACAGCCCTGCCCAACAGGTCCACCTCACTCAGGCTCCGGAACAAGGCACCTCTTTCTGCCCAAGCACCCTGACCTGAGCAAATCAGAACATACACCTCTGCACAGATGAGGAAACTGAGGCTAAAGGTGGAAAATGACTCTCAAGGTGAGATGACTGGTGAGAGTAGAAAATTCAAGTCTGCCCAACTAAACCCCACACTTTCTCCACACAATTTCCCTGCACATTTGTGTGTCCTGACCTGGTTCTTTTCTGGTTTACAATATACTACATCACCTCCATTCTCGTTACAACCCCATGAGGTAAATCATACAGATATCATTTTCCTCATTTTACAGAGGAAACTGAGCCTCAGAGAAGTGACATGAATTGCCCCAGTCTCACAGATAGTAAGAGAGAGCTCACAGCACCCCACCCAGACTCAACCTGCAGGGAACCCACTCTCTGGCCAAAGGACTTGACCTCAGCACTCCACTAAGTCTAGTCACACGGCCTGGCATTTCTGTCTCCCTTGGGCCAAAGCCACCCCCACTAACCAGGAAACTAGCAACCAGCAACCAGCACTCCACTGAATGGACCTAGGCTCCATGAACTTCCTCCGGGACAGCCCCCACCCAGCACCAGCTAGGCCCTCTGGCAGGGCACTCCCAGCCCCGCCCAGCCTAGCCCTAATAGGCCCCACCCAAGACCTTTGCCCCTGCAAGAAGTAGGACCCTGGTTTCCTGGGTCTCTGTCCCTGTTTACCTTACTCTTCTATCACCCCAGGGCTTGTGCGCTTATGGAAAAGGACACAGGCTACATGCCAATGATTTGAGAAATGTGAAGAAAACCAGAAAAACCCCTACCTCCAACTCAATGTGATTTCTTATCTAGCTTGGAAGTGTGCTTGGTTCCTACTAGATTATAAAGTCCTCTGATTCAGGTAACACAGCAGTGTCCCATTATCAGTCATTTATGCCAGTAGGAGGACCCAGGAAGGCAAGTTTGCAAGAACACAAGAAAGTGATGCCTCCTTTATTCAAGTCACAAAACCAACATACTCTTGAGTAGCCAGCACTGTTCTGGGCACTGGAGATGTTGCAGTGAATAAAACCAGCAGAAATTCTTGCCTGTTTGGGGACATTCTGGCTGTCTCAATAGAGCTGACACATTGGAGCAGAGAGAGAGAATAAAAAATAGATAAGAGCCCTGGCCAGTTTTGCCCAATGGTTAGAGCGTTGGCCCGTGGACCAGAGAGTCCTGGGTTTGGTTCCCGCTAAGGGCACATACCTTGGTTTCAGTTTGTCCCCGGCCCCGGTTTGGGTTGTGTGGGTGGCAACCAGTCAATGTGTCACTTTCCCATCCATGTTTCTCTCTCTCTCTTCCTCCCTCTCTCCCTCATGCTCTATCTGAAGATAAATGCAAAAAAAAAAAAAAAGTCTTCGGGTGAGGATTAAAAAAAAGAGAGAGAGACTGACAAACCTCAGAGGGAAGGAGGTTAGGAGGTGGGAAGAGGTAAACCAAAGAACTTATATGCATGACCAATGGACAGTGACAACAGTGGGGTGAAGGCAGGGGTGGAGGGAGCAGGGAGGAGGGTGTCAATAGGGGAAAAAAGAAGGGATATCCATAATACTTTCAATGATACAGGTAAATTTTTAAAAAGAAAAATAAAAGATTCATCTAACATATTACCATCTCCCTATAAGTAGGGTGTATAAATAAATATACTGAGATGTGTTTAAACTATGTTGTTAAATGGAGGTTTGTGATCTGCTCAATAAAAAAAGAGTATGGCAGGCAGTGTTAAAATCTAAGGAGAATATAAAGTATAAAAAGAGGACAGAACATCATGGAGTATGTAGCTATAATTTTATTTTTTCAATTGATTTTTAGAGAGGAAGGGAGAGTGATAGAAACATCGAGGAGAGAGAATATCTGTTGGCCGCCTCCTGCATGCCCCTCACTGGGGATTGGGCCCACAACCTGGGCATGTGTCCTGACCGGGATTCCAACCGGTGACCTCTTGGTGCATGGGTCGACGCTCAACCACTGAGCCACACGGGCAGGGCAGTAGCTGTAATTTTTTTTTCTTTTTTTCCCCCTCACCTGAAGATATTTTTACCTGATTTTTGCATTTACTTCAGATAGAGTGGGAGGGAGAGAGAGGAAGAGAGAGAGAGAGAGAGAGAGAGAGAGAGAGAGAGAGAGAAACATCGATGCGAAAGAGACACATCCAGTGGCTGCTACCCGCACAACCAACCAGGGCCAGGGCCAAACTGCAACCGAGGTACGTGCCCTTAGCCCTTAGCGGGAACCGAACCCGGTCTCTCTGGACCGCAGGCTGACGCTCTAACCTCTGAGCCAAACTGGCCAGGGCCAATAGCTGTAAGTTTAAGTAATGTGGTCAGGGAAGGAAGAAGACCTTGCTGGGAGCAAAAACTTGAAAGGTAGGAGTAAGCCTTGTGGATATTTGCATGTGGCACACTGGAGGAATAGCCAGGAGATCCTAGCATGGAGGGGTAGAAAGGAGATGTGGGGGCAGGGAATGGGGGCTGGGGTAGGGACAGGCCAGGCAGACCTTTAAGGCCAACTCTAAAGAGCTCTAAGCAGGGTGAGGGATAGCCCAGGTGTGGGAGCAAGGCCATTGCAGGTAACGTCTCTGACTTCCCACTTTTGCCCGGGTCGAGTCTCTTTCACCACCATTTCATTAAGGTGGATCCCGGCACTGACTCGGGCTCAGAGGGAGGGAAGACAAGACTCTGTGAGAGGAGGGAACTCAGTAGGGAGGAGGGAGACTTCTGGGAGGGGACAGCAGCTCAGCTAAAGGGATCCAGAGTCATTGCGAGAGATAAGAGTTGAGGAAGCTGCCCCCGGGCTGGAGTGGAATTTTAGTTCAGCACCGGCTCAGGGGTGTCTTCTGGGTGCCTTTGCGGGCAGTCCCGGGCTACAGAGCTCAGACCTCCAGGGCTGCGACCCCATCCCACGGGCCTGAATCAGGCCGGGATCCCGCGCGGGGAGTGCTGCCTCAGAGGCGGGAGGGACGGAGGAGCAGGTGCGCAGCTCACTCTGGAGAACAGCCCGGCCACGCCCACGCTGCCCTTCGGGTCCGGAGGATCTTGGGCGGCTGGCAGCACCCCCTTCGCCACGCCACCCGTGCCAAAGGCGTCGAAAATGCGGGGACTGGAGGCCAGTCAAACAAATTGTGATTTGCACCCCATCACCGGGGAATTAGTTTCATAACAGGGGGGGACTAGGAGAGGCCGGGGTTCAAGCCCAGACCCCGCCCCTTCTCTGCACACCACCCACCACCCCTGCGCTTTGCGCCACTCCTGGCGGAGTCCTTCCTCCCCTGGCGCTCGGTAAAGGTGGGAAGAGGGGCCACGTCACTGTACCCAGGTCCGGAAGAACGCGGCTCCGCCCCTCCCGCCCCCGACGGAGCGCTGAGCACAGATCTAAGACCAATCGGACCCAACTCAGGGCCAGTTCAGTCTCTGCCGGGCCCGCCCACAAAGCCACAGGCAGGTGCGGGCGCAGCCGCAGCGTTAGCGGGCAAAGCTGAGCCGTTAGCGAGCGCGCGGTTCGTCCCTCCGTCCATCCGTCGGGGCGTCCTTAAGTCGGAGTGCCGCAGTTTCTGCCCAGGCCAAGAGGCCGCGGCCCCTCATCGTCCCCGCATCCGGAGCCGCCCGGCAGAGCCGGCTTTGGAGCGGCAGCCATGTCCATGGGCCTGGAGATCACTGGCACCTCTCTGGCCGTCCTGGGCTGGCTGGGCACCATCGTGTGCTGTGCGCTGCCCATGTGGCGGGTGACGGCCTTCATCGGCAGCAGCATCATCACAGCACAGATCACCTGGGAGGGCCTGTGGATGAACTGCGTGGTGCAGAGCACTGGCCAGATGCAGTGCAAGGTGTACGACTCGCTGCTGGCGCTTCCGCAGGACCTGCAGGCGGCCCGCGCCCTCATCGTAGTCGCCATCCTGCTGGGTGCCTTTGGGCTTCTCGTGGCGCTTGTGGGCGCCCAGTGCACCAACTGCGTGCAGGACGACACTGCCAAGGCAAAGATCACCATCGTGGCCGGCGTGCTTTTCCTGCTGGCTGCCCTGCTTACCCTTGTGCCGGTGTCCTGGTCGGCCAACACCATCGTCCAGGATTTCTACAACCCCCTGGTGCCGGAGTCGCGGAAGCGCGAGATAGGCTCTGGCCTGTATGTGGGCTGGGCCGCTGCGTCGCTGCAGCTGCTGGGGGGCGCACTGCTCTGCTGCTCGTGCCCGCCGCAAGACAAGAAATATGTGCCCACCAAGATCCTCTACTCCGCGCCACGCTCCGCCGTGCCAGGCACGGGCACTGGCACAGCCTACGACCGCAAGGACTACGTCTGAGGGGCAGCAGCGCTCCACCACCCTCACGCGCTGGAGTGCCCACCAGTCGAGCAGGCCGCCTTGCATCGGAAACCAGCGCAGCCCAGATGTCAGGCAGCCCTCTCGCTGGACTGGGAGGGGCCAGTCCGTTGTCCCCTTCCCCGCTACCACTCCTCCGCGGGCAGACAGCGGGACAGTGGAGCCTGGGGAGCAGCCCGCATGGACAATGAAACCTTCCCCTCTGGAGTGCGGGGTAGGGTGGCCACGGCTACTTGCCTTCTCTCTCTCCTGCCCCTTCGGGCCGAGGTCCCAAAGCCCTTGTTGGGCAGGCACTGGCAGCCTTGAAAAGGGCCACTTGATATTCTTCAATAAAAGCCTGTTGTTTTGCAGTTGCCTGCGCGCCTCCTTGTCCTGAGTGCCGCAGACGGGTCTCCACCACCCTGAAAGGGTTGGCCTTGGCTGGATTCTGCTAGGGATGAAGCTTAAAGAGGAAGAGAGGTTCAGTAACTAAGAAAGTGAGGTTGTAAACAACTGGATACTGGTAGTCATTTGGCCTACTCACTGGGGATTCAGACAATTAAGGCCCAATCTAGAGAGGCAGGGGTGGGCATTTCCAACATGTTGTGGCAGAGCGCGCCATGGGGGAGGGAGGAGGATGTCAGGGACCCTCTTCTCCAGGCTGTGACATTTGGGTTTGTGCTTGGAGTATCAGTTTTCCAGCGTGGTTGTACACCAGAATCTCCCATGTTGCATGAAAGAGCACATTTAATGCTATGATTTCATATTTGGAAAAGGAGAACACAATGACCTATTATTTGTTGTTGTTGTTTTGTTTTGTTTTTTGTTTTACCAAAAGTAATGCTTGGCAGAATCTGCTCACCTAGGGGCCTCATTTTCTTCCTGTGATCCTCCAGGGAGGGAAAGAGGGGGCACTCAGAAGCACTGGCATCTTGGAGAAGATGCAGGAGGTTTAGGAATTGGGAAAGGGGACCTGTGCCCAGCGCCAGGAAAGAGAAATTCCACATGGCTGGATAGATAGCAAGGTGAGAGAGGAAGTGGCAATAAGACCCAGGGTCAAAAAGGCAAAGGCATAGAAAGTGTCCTGGGTAGAATGACAGACTTTGGACCTTACTCCAGTGTTAATGAGAGTCATGGAAGGGATGTACCTCGTACCTCGTCAGAGTTATGCTCTAAAATAACCTCTCCAGCAGCCCCTGCAGAGCTGGGATTCAGGGAGGCCAATGAAGGTGGGAGACCATCTACGAGTCTATGTAATCATCCCAGTATGAGATGATGCAGGCCAGAAATAACGCAGGGAAAACAGGGCTGGGAGCAGGCCTGATGGTGCTATTAAGAAAGTAAGGTGAGCAGGACTTGAGAACCATTTGGATATTCTGGGTGGGGAAGAGGGGAGAACTAAGAGAACCCCAATTTTCCACCCTAGGTCATTGATTGGATGGTGGTGCCATTTACCAAAATCAGAGGCCAGATTACTGGAAGAAGATGATGGGTTCAGTTTTGAGTGTACAGAGTTTGGCAAGCCTGTAGGACCTCCAAGCAGAGATGTCCAGGAAGTTGCTGGGCATATATAGAGTACTGAAACTCAGGAATGGTAAACTTGGCTGTTGTTAGCACACAGAAGGGAACCGAAACCAGGGAGTAGATGAGGTCAGTCTAGAAACCAAAGGGAGGAAGGGTTTCAAGAAGGCGGGCATTGCCCTAGCCAGTGTGGCTCAGTGATTAGAGTGTCGGCCGCATGCACCAAAGGTTCCTCGGTTTGATCCCTGATCAAGGGTGCATACCTGGGTTTCAGGTTCAGTCTCCAGCCCCAGTCACAGCACATTCAGGAGGCAACTAATCCATGTATCTCTCTCACATCAATGTTTCTTTCTTTCTCTCTCTTTCTCTGTCTCCCCTCCCATCTTCCCTCCCTTCCACTCTCTCTAAAACTCAATGAAAATAATATCTTCAGATGAGGATTTAAAAAGAAAAAGAAGGCGACATTGACCACAGTGTCAGAGGCTGCAGAGGTAGTCAGGCAACATGAGGCCAGGAGTAGCCGTGAGATTAAAATCAGCAAGGTGGTCACAGGTGGCTTTAGCAAGAGGTGTGGGAGCAGGCACAGAGGACAGAAAAGGGAGTGGGAGAAGAGAAGCAAAAACAGAACATGTAGACCCACATCCAAGAAGTTTGCTTGTAAGGGGAATCAAAGCTAGTTAGCAACTTGAAGGGAAGTGAGGGTCACAGAACAGGTATTTAAGATTGAGGCCTAGGCCCTGGCCAGTTTGGCTCAGCAGTTGGAGCATCGGCCTGCAGACCAGAGTCCCAGGTTCAGTTCCTGCTAGGGGCACATACCAAAAAAAAAAAAAAAAAAAAAAAGTCATCTTATGGACTGAGAGGTCCTGGTTTGATTTCTGATCAGGGCACATGCCCAGGTTGCAGGCTTGATCCCCAGTAGAGGACATGCAGAAGGCAGCTGATCAATGTTTCTCTCTCACCTCGATGTTTCTGTCTCTCTCTCCCTCTCTCTCTCTAAAAAAAAAATCAGTAAAAACATTTTAGCCCTGGCCAGTTTTGCTCAGCGGTTAGAGCATCAGGGGCCCACAAACCAAAGAGTCTCAGATTCTATTCCGGTCAAGGGCACATATCTTGGTTGCAGTTCATCGCCAGCCCTGGTCGGGGTCATTCGGGAGGCAACCAGTTGATGTGTCTCTCTCACATAGATGTTTCTCTACCCCCACCCCCACTCTCCCTCCCACTCTATCTGAGATAAATAGAAAAATATCCTCAGATGAGAATTTTTTTTAATTAAAAAAAAAAAATGGGGGCCCAATAAAATTGTTTCAAAGTTAGTGTATCTAGCCCTGGCCAGTTTGGCTCAGCGGTTAGAGCGTCGGCCTGCGGTCTGGAGAGACCCGGGTTCGGTTCCCACTAAGGGCACGTACCTCGGTTGCAGTTTGTCCCCGGCCCTGGTTGGTCGTGCGGGTGGCAGCCACTCGATGTGTCCCTTCACGTCGATGTTTCTCTCTCTCTCTCTCCCTTCCTCTCTCTCCCTCCCACTCTATCTGTACAAAAAATGGAAAAATATCCTCAGGTGAGGATAAAAAAAAAAAAACAAAGTTAGTGTATCTAGAACTTCTTTGCCTGAAGCAAAGCTAAAGCAAAAGGTCCCAGTGGCAGTCAGATTTTTCAGTAAAATATTCCAGTCACTTCCCAAAAAATTCTCCTTTGGTTAAGGAACACTGACTGACATGCTGTCACCCTGTATGACCCATGGAAGAGGAAGCAGGTCACTATGAATAGTAAGAGTACCCTAGCTTCAGGCCATCCTCTGTGAGATTCAGGAAAGGGCTTGGAGTTGTCGGTACTCTGTCTCCAACCAGTCCCCCTTGGGAACCACTCTTCTAGCATGGAGAGAGGGAAACAGGAAGAATATGACTCGATATGAAGGTGAGGGGGACAATTGACGGAGATGGGTCCGAAGGGAGAGCTGAAGAGGGGATGGGGGCTCAAAAAAGGCAGAGGGGCTCAGTGGGGGCCTCAGTGAGGAGAAGGTGGCATAGTGGGGAGGGGTCAGTGAGGGGATGAGGCCCAGCGAAAGAGAGGGGCCAGAGTGAGGGGAAGGGTCAGAGACAGAAGAGGCTTAGCAATAGGTGAGGGGGGAGGGGACTGAGAGGAGAAATGTTCTCTGGTCCTGTCTGGGATGAGATTTGGGGGGTGGGCAGAGAGCCAAGGGGTTGCATCTAACTTCATCCTCATAGTCTTTGGCCAAGGAGCTAGGTTGGGCCAAGCTAGAAATGAGGGGTACCAGGTGGCTTCTTTGTCCGAGAGCCCTGCAGGCAGGAGCAAGGTTATTCATTTACCACCAGCTTCAAGAGAGCAGCTTGGACATGACACTGCCTGCAGCAGAGCTGCTGCCTGAGGCCCAGAGCCAGCCAGCCTGCCCACCCCCAGCACACCCAAGCCAGAGGGGGGTGGCAGGGAAGGGAGGCAGACGAATCCTGGGATCCTCAGGTGGGGTGGGTGGGATGGGAAAGGTTCAGTCTGGGAGTCAGACTCTCCCTGGTTCCCTGGTCTCTCCCCAAGCCTGGGCTACCCTGGGGCCTCCTGGGGGTAGTGAGATATCCTACTCTATTTTATATCCCTCCAACAGACACACACATTCCTGCCTGGCTTCAAGGTCTGTCCTAACTCATCCTCTTCTTATCCTTTCTGGAATTTAGGGTCTAAACAGAGTTGGTGGAATTTTCAGCATATAGAATTTTTAACACAAGCTAAGGAGAGTCCCACATGAGGGGTCCCAGGAAATCCTCAGATGGCTGGAGAAGAAAAAGGCATTTGATGTCAAGAAACACCCTGGACTGGGAGTTAGCTGCTTTCTGGATTCGTTCTTTTTCCTGTGCGACTCTGAACAATTCCCTTCCCCGCTGGCTCTCAGTTTTCCTATTATTTCAGTGATGATTCATGAAGATCTCTCTAACTTACCTTTTCATCCCCATTTTTATCCTTATCATCCCCTGCAGAAAAAAATTAGTCAGAACCAAAATGACCAGGAAAGCAGGGCAGTTCACACTTCTGAACTTCGGTTTTCTCATCTACAAAATGGGTATGATTATAGCCCTGGGCTGTGTTGGGGATTAGTTGAGTCATCTTCTGGGTTTCTATCAGTCTATTCTCACTCCAGCAAAGCACATGTTATGTTGTGTTGTTGTTTTGTTTCTTGTCAGATTTCCCCACCAGAAGGTCATCTTCCAAGATCAGGGGGAACTGTCCCAAGTTTCTCTCTGTCTGCAGCACCTAGTGCAGGCCAGCACCAGCCTGTGCGCATGAAAAACACCTGGCACAATGCTAGACACAGAGTAGGACCTTAATTAAGGTAAGTATTGTTTTGTTTTTTATCCTCACCGAGGACATTTTTCATTTTTGTTCAGATAGAGTGGGAGAGAGAGAGAGAGAGAGAAACATCAACATGAAAGGGACACTTCGAGTGGCTGCCTCCCGCATGACCCCCAACCAGGGCCAGGGACGAATCGCAACCCAGGCACATGCCCTTGACCGGAATCGAACCCGCAACTCATTGGTCTGTGGACTATAGCTCTAACCGCTGAGCGAAATTGGCCAGGGCAAGGTAACTATTGTTAATATTTTGTTGTATTCAGCCAGGCAGGTACCTGGAAACATGAGGGAAATGGCTGGGTCATGAAAAAGTTCCTGGATTTCTTTACAATCTACAGCCCTGAAGCCCCCTGCCAGGCCCTGGGGCTCTGTCTCACCCCACCTTCACTGTGGTGCCCCAGGCCTCCCTGGTCTTGCCACACCTGTTCTAGCTCTTC